TTACATCTATCGATAATCGATATTGGCACAATAATTGTATATACAAAATTATACAAGTGGAAAAAAATTGTATTGTGACGAAATCAAACATAAAATTAATAAAAATAAAAAATTTTCTCGTGCATACATATACATGTATCTTTCCATTAATTTAATATTGGAAAATTTTTAAGCAGTTTTTAAAGTTGAAACGTTATTAGTTTCATTTATTTCCTAAAATCAGTATTATTTTTATTAAGCAGCATATGAAAAAGATATATTTAAAATAAATTTAAAAAGTTTTTAAAATATATCATACATGATCGTGCAGTAATTATTTAAATTATAAAGCTAAGAGTTTATCATCTTCCGAAGAATTTGAGTCATACGTATAATCGTGTGGCATGTTATATTCATTAGCGATTTATTTTGATTCTAAGAAAAAATTTGATCGAATATAATTACTATCTTCAACATTTATATAAATTCTATGTTACTAAAATATTTAGAGCTACCGCAAATTGAAAGAAGAAGAGATTCACTCAATACGTCAAGCTAAAGTCCCCACATGGATATTCGTTGAATTCATGCGAGAAGATACCAAAAATACGATCTGTAATTAGTTGAAAACTTCCCGATCATAAAACGTCGGTATTATTCATTCGGCTGAAAGCCATGAAAATGAGTAGAAAAATATCACGATTGATTTTCTCATAACCCCTGTTCTTTTTAGCTGAACTTTTTGCACGGTTCATCTTTTCTCTTTTTTTCTGCGAAAAGAATGTGAAAAGAAAAAGAGGAAAGATGAACCGTGCAAGAAGTTCAGCTAAAAAGAACAGGCCTATAACCGCAGTAGTAAAGAGTGCAGGTCGTTCAACGGTAGATACCGATTTCAATTTCCTAATGCACTGTGAAAACGAAGAAGCACGAAATCTCAGAGAAGGCAAATGTACAATACTAATCAGCATTATCAGCAACTACACGAAAGAAGCATCGAGAGAAAGCTTTTAGCTTTCGTTAAGCTCTTTTCGAGAATTTTAAATGTTTAGTCAAAGCTTCATTAAACTATATATTGGCCATTAATACTGCCATTTAATAAAAGTTATATTAATCGAATATTTACTTGAGATATACGATGTCAAAGACGTAACTTCATCAAAAGAGCGCGCGCGCACAATCCTAATATTCATTTAGGAACTTCTTTAATCTTCCTTAATCCAATATTTGCTAAAAATCTACTTTAATTTTAAATAGGTACGCTAATTCGAATTACATTATCAAAAATATTCTAATTTAAAAAAAACAGGTCAAAACGTTTCTTCTAACTGAAAAAAGTTAAAGTAAATAAGATTCTTAAAGCAATCGTTAGTCTATACGATATAACGAAAATGTGCTCACCCTCTTCGATTCAGCAAGTTTCGAGGTATTTCCAATACAGACGCCCACAGTGAAACGATCGTCTCGAAGGAAGCTTACGAAACAAATTCTAAGTTGCGGGAAGATAGTGTGAACTGGAACCGTGAAACTCGACCGAAGATTGACATTCTCTATCGATAGTCGCCACCCTTGTCCTTCCGCAAATTATTTGTACGATCGTTAAACATAGCCCATTTTCCGAACGTTCGTCTATAGTATCATCTCAAATACAGAAACAAGCACGGAGATTTCAAGTGCCAAATTCCTGAAGTCTCGACGTTCTCTCTCTCTCTCTCTCTTTCTTCGTTTCGTTCCTCATACACTATATCATAATATTTGAACAAACTTTATGTAAATGGCGAGATAATTAAATTCACAAGAAAGGGACATGCACTCGGCACTGGTAGCTCTAATTCATCGTAAAGAGGTGTTGAAGTTTCAAAGGACTGTCCAGCAAGTTGCTAGAAACTTTTGCTAAATTGGCTTATCTACTTTAAAGCTGCATCTTGATTCAGAACGAACTTGATAAAAAACTGTTTAATGGAAGAGTTTCGCAGGAAGTAGAACTTTCGTGAATCAGAAAGCAAACGAGACTCGTGAGACTTGTCAATTACCGTTAATTACAGAAAATTGAGATTATACATATATAAAGAGAGTTGAAACTTCATATATACAGAAAATATAATGTCAATTTATATCATAATTAGATACTATCAAACAGTTTTAATATCCATCGAGAACTCATTTTAAATGAATCTGAATGATAGATAAATTGCAAAATAATTTTTGAATATTTTAAGCTTAATTCTGCTGAAATGTTTTAATTGATCACATGATATTCATCATCTAATTGATAAGCACACTGCGCCTTGCTTTGAAACTGGCATTACGCCGTGTATATCTCAATAATCGATTAATAGTTCGACATACGCTCGAAATGCTGATATGATGTCTATCGTCGTTCATGTCAATGTCACAATTCTGAGAGCGGTGCTGCGTATATATTATATGGATGCATATACGGCATGCCAAATTCGGGTCATCGATTTAGGAAGAAATTTCGAGTTTTATTTGTTACGCTAATTCCTTAAAATCAATCATTCTAATATCTTTGAATTTTTCTCTCTCTCTCTTTCTCTCTCTCTCTCTCTCGACTGAGTTTTCACGCACATACAACATTTATATTCATGAATCTTTGTTACCATAGATCGCGAATAAAAGCATAAGAATAGAAGATCTTAAGCGTTTTATGCATAAGTACACGTGAATCGTATCCGAGTTCAGATTCTTCTTCTTTATCGATACGGTATCTGAGCCAATTTTATGCCTCACTTACTTTTATTATTTACAGTGGACGTATACATATACTGTAAACGCACGACTTCTTTCATCAATAACCTTTGATCCTGTACATCACCTGTATAACGGTATTTCGTTCTTTCTTTATTTTCCATATTCAATATAGCTACTAGCATTGCGTGAAGTAGACTACTGGAATAATATTGTTATGCTAGCTATACATGTGACGAGAAGAATAAAAACAATTTGTGCAAACTCAGCAACAAAATATTATATTATTACTTTCAGTTTTAGTGAATCGTTTCATGATTTTTTTTTTTAAGTTAATGTTGTAGTCTTGTAGTTAAATTAGTGGTAAAAATATTTAAATATCTATATCTCTAATACGAAATACACGGGATATATTTAACAAATATATTTTCTTTTCATATTTAAATACTAAAAATTTTTTAATACACACAATAATAAATTATTACAACAGAATATATAAATTCCTTCAAATCACCTCTAAAAATTCTAAGTTTATTTTGTAAAAAAATAATGCTAAGAAAATATAGATTGAATGTTAAAAATGTAGAATGGCAAAATTTATTTATAAAAAATTTCTCACAAAGTATCTATGTATAATCTGAGTATACCAGTATATAGCAAGATCATGTTTTTTTAATTCATTCAGCGGATTTTTTAAACTCATTAGTGAATTTTAATATAGAATTAAAATTTTATTTAATAAATTTAAGCTTTATCATAATATTGAACTAATTAACTCATTAAATAATCATGATATTTTATATTAAAAATTAAATGCAATCGCTAGTGGCGGTTTAATTAAAGCCAGAAAAAATGTTCAAACTCCCAATTGTGTGAAGTAAAAACATTTTTAACACACAGAAGAAGTATACAGTTCGTAATATACCGGCAACAGCCGGTCATGTGATAGTTCTTTTTTAATCTTCGCCAATTTGCGGAAGGCTTAAAAGCTCTGGAATGCTTAATGCTCTCACAGATCAATAAATACGTATCTAGAAATAACTCCGCTTCCCTGATACAGAAAAGAGTTCGGAAAACCGAAAATCCGATTTACTGGTAACACGTGATACTTCCGACCGTGATGGTGATAATATTGTTCGGCACGCGATCCGCCATGCATGACCTCGAACTTTCCACGTGTCTACAACGAAAACTAAAAATCTCAGAACTTATCACAAAGCAACCTCTTTTGCTCTCTTACTCTCGCCTTTGTCATAAAGCCCTAAAATATGTAAAAGAGAAAATCCCAGACGGAGATATATAATTGGATTAAGTTTTTATTTCCAAGGTACGCACAAAAGACTACTTATTCAAACTAATCAAGGTTCCTTTTTCTTAGTACAGTATTCAAAATATTTTTATAAAAAATGATAGTATGCACAAAACTTTAAGCTCTATGTGCATACCTATAATATTTTCGTCAGTGATTAATAAAAATAATTTCCTTGTCTTAAGTTAATTGTTTTGAAAAGAAATCGTTTTTTTTATGTTAATTACAAATTGCACGTATGTATATATGAGACATTCTTATATTAATATAATAAAAAATATATTAACATGTTTTTGATAGCGGCGATATATATTGTGCATTATTATCAATAATGCATCAATTAACAAGGTATTATTTATGATCGCATTATGCGTGTGACTAAAATTAGTTGGCACAGTGTACAGTCCATGATTTGCAACAAAAATAATTAATTAATATTCTCTCATCAAATATTGAACACGCAAACCAACAGCATAGCGATGTTTAAAGCTCAAATAAGTATTAAAGAAACTTCATACTGAATCTGGTATTCCAGTATCTTCGCAAAAATAAACGCCTAATTATTAATTAAACTTATTAATAAAATTATTGTAACACATTTTTTCTGATAGAGACAACTACAAAAAAGGTCTCGCAGAGAGATCTGTAGAAAGATCGTTGCAATGGACGAACGGCGAAAATTCGATGAAATCACACGGCAGGGGAGATACGGGTTAATCAAAAGCAATGCCACGGACAAACGCGCCCTCCTCGTTAATGTAATCGGTTCGGCGTGGCCACCGGGGGGGGGGGGGGAATTGACGAGAATTTGTGTGACACGCAGAGGCAGGGCTCCAATGTTCTTCCGACGAATGGCGAATGTCGCGATGCGTGCAAAAAGATTCGCGTTTCTACGCACTGCCGCCGTGAATCGCCAACATCGTGGAGGGACGCGGCGCCGATTAGCGTTGCGCCCTATGCGTCGCGACGCCTGGCGTCGAGCGCGCCAGTAGACGGCGAGCCGTGTTACACGACGGACGTCGGGCGCAACGTCGAGTTTTACTACTTATCGCACGGCCTAACAGCCGACTCCGAACGGGCCTCGCTCGCTGCCTAATGACCCTCGGGTGAAACGGAGAACGACGATATCACGGGAATACCGTTGTACATTAAGATTGTCTTTCCCCAACGTCGCCTCGAGCGGGGGAAACGAAGAAATGCGAAAATTTATCGCGGAAAGTATAAAGGCCAGGGAGAATTGGGGACCGGTATAATCTGGGTGAGAGAGCCGCATCGTCAACGCTAAAGATACGGGAGAAGAAAGACCTTATCTGTAATCTTCGCCTTCCCTTCGTCCCAAATAAATATACAGATCAGCTGCGCGCAATTTATAGCGTCGAAGCTCTAAGCTCCAAGCTCTAAGCTCGTTAGAGCTTTATCGATATCCTTAAACAACGCAGAAACGTTAAATAATATCCGGACGGTACATATATATACATATATATCAAAGAGGATTATCTGAAAATAACAAACTGTCAGTACATGGCTCGAGTGTGGGCAGGTGACGCACTTGAATTCTTAAAGAGCGCTTCGGGAACAATTTGCTGGATCGCGACGCCGCGCGCCGTGCCGCTAGTAAAGGAACAAATGGGAGAAGCGTTCTCGATTTCTCTCGCCTGGGGAAGATCGATACGATCGTAAACGGTGTTTTAGCGTTTATGGCCCGTCTTTAATATACTACGGTGATCTGCTGAGTTGACGGTCCGTAAGTAGGTGATAACGTCGATGTTCACGTCGTAGGCAGTGTGTTCGTAAGTACAACAACTCGCGCGTAAATACTGCGCGTTATTATCGGACAGCCGACAGGCAATTAGAATTGATTCGCTCGCTATATCATGGCGCATATTTTCTCATTAATTCGCCATTTTTGCTCGACCACGTTTCCGGTTTACGGACGAGAAAATAGGTTTTATTCAAATGGAATGGCCATTAAGCATTCACATATGTGACAGTCGAACACGACGCTTTCCACGCGGGCGATGATTTTGTTATAATTAATTTTTAATCACAAGCTATATAAATAGTCCGTTTCGAGTGTGAACAAAATATCAAATAATTATTAGATTAAATTCATTTAATACTTAACGCGGTAAAACCTTCTGAAAGCGACCTGGTAATTGTAGAACAGTAAAGCAGCAAAGCAGTAATCGATCGAGTTGAGATGTCCTGCGACCAGCATTAAACAACATACTATCGATATTTTTTTATGCACCCGAAACTCTGTGTTTTGAATTTTAAATGCATCTCGGTAATAATCTCTGATTTATTTAAAATCAAGAACAGCGGCGCATTTCTATTGATATTATAATTAGGAAACAAACAAATAGAGCTTTAATACGCATGTCAGAAAAAATTTTATCGCCGTTTCTTTTTATCTAATTTCTTATGTAAAGATATGATATACAATACTCAAATCTATGAATCTCAAAGAATTTACGACCCTTATATTCTTGCTAATTTACATCATTGATTTTTTTTTTTTTTTAACATAGACAATGTGATTGTCTAATCATTATTTAATTAATATAAAGATAGATTTAGTGGAGCCAAATTAAAAATAGCCGAACTCATCTGACCTATTCGTGATATTTCAAAAAGAGGGTACTTAGGGGAAAAATATTCGGGTTTAATATTTCAGTCACTATAAGGGATAGCCAGTCGATCAGCTGCAATAATGGATGCATAATGTTCGGTAATTTACGATCGTCGTTGGAGCAAATGCACTTTGAAGCTTGACTGGACGATATACGCGCTTTGTGTCTCGTTTGTGCAATCTGATGCCGTTATTTACCGAATCGAACACGCAGTCAAAGTTAGTTTCACGTTGTGTGTACTTGACGTTCGTTTCTCGATGAAATCCCAAGGCGGAGTTTATCTAATTCCAGCCTAATTTAACTCATTCCATGAACTTCCTCAATTTCGTATGCCATGACGTTGTCGCAAATCTAAATGCACAATATTCGCGTCTCGTTTTCGAATTGGTTGAATTTCTCCCAATTTTACCTCGAGTTTAAAAATTAAAATTAGGAAAAGGCCTTGTAAAAGAGGGGGAAGCTGTGTGCGTAAGTGTGTTTTCGGAATGCGATTACTGTAGGAGTGTAGGAAATATTTTGCATTATTAATAACGTCTATTCCGATCAATGATATTCAAGCATATCCGATTCTTGGCACTGTTCAGCTATATAAATTCACTGCTCGGCAGTTTCTATAATTACGCGATAACATAGAGATCATAAAATCGATCCCGCATCAACGATGCGAGCTATTGCACCATATAGTTTACATTGCGAAACATCGTAATCTGACTAGGTCGTGCAGGTGTAAACAAAGCTTTCAAGCTTTAAAGTACTCCGCGATAAAGCGCTTACTGCTTTTTTTTTAGATATAGGAGAAATTGGAAAATGCACTCTCGCGTGGAGTTTAGGATCTATACCTAAAAAATTTTAAAATTTTCGAATGGAGTACTTGTATGTGTGTGTGTGTGTGTGTGTGTGTGTGTGTGTGTGTGTGTGTGTGT